TGGAGAATGTATTATCAAAAATGTCTAGCATAACTGCGAACCAACATTTTTCCTCCTTTTGTTTTGTCTATCTGGCCAGACTAAAGTCAACAGGAGTACCCACTTTTACGACTGTAATGTCGCGTCTGTCTCGAATGTGCGCTAATGCGAACTCCTCGTAAGCCTCCTCGTCACCCTCGTAGCTGCCTACCAGACAGCCGGAGCGCAGCTTCACCAGATGTCCATTCATGGCGAACGCAAATATCGACAGGGCTGCCGTCTCCATTGCTAGCTCACGGGCCAGGTCGAAAGGTTCCCCCAAGCTTTGGCCAGATCCAGACGCCGAAACCGAGCCTGGTCCGAGTCCCAGGCTGAGGCCATGGCGGGCCAGTTTGATGCGTTTCTGACGCTCTGCCGGTAGCCAGACTGGCGGCAGGCCAGAGCGCTGTCGGACCTGGTTATCGCGTTTAATCGCCTTCATCGGGTCGACGTAGATGTACGTCGATAAGGGCACTGGGCAGTAGACGTAGGCGCCGGTCGTGGTGAGGCACATTCGAAAGTAGGCGAACCTGTCTTCTACTTGGCAGCCGCGCGACACGCTGACTGAGACCGGCTGACAGTCGACCTGGTTGGGGATCAGGGCGAGAGGGAAAGAGCATTTTCAGGCCGTAACAACCATAATACCTTTAATACTTGTAGCAGCCTATAGACTTCTTTGCTCCCCTCTCGCGAACCGGGCCCGAGAGGAATCTATTGGCCGACAAGTTTGATGAGGCAACAATTGGTCTAGATGTGGATAGCTTCGAATAATCAAAATAGAACGTAACAGCAATTTTCTATTATTTCCTACATCAGTAGGTTTTTGAGACTAACAGTAAGTCAATTATATGAATTATGTCCACCATATTTCGTTTAAGGTGAGGAAGGATTGGTAGTTCATCTTTGCCACAATAATGTGAGTAGAACTGACGTGGGAAAATCAAGTACCAGTCCTTCATCACCTTAAACTAAATAGGGTGAATAGAACTCATACAATCAATTTTCAATGACCACCACAATCTTTTTTGATAATCAACACCATTCTGCTCACCACAAGTCGGGCACACGTCTGGTTAAATTGATGATTTTTGTCTTCATGTGAGAGAGGGAGAGAGTA